AAGCCAACTTACAGAAATTAAGTAACCTAGAGGAATCAGTTCTTGTTCAGTATATACTTGACTTAGCTGCTAAAGGGTTCCCTCCTCAGTTGTCTATTGTTGAAGATATGGCAAATCGACTACTTGCAACACGCGACGCGCCACGCGTCGGGTCACGTTGGGCTTCAAACTTTGTTAAGCGCCATGTAGAGCTCCGGACACGCTTCCAGCGAAAATACGACTACCAGAGGGCTAAGTGCGAAGATCCAGAAGTCATTCGTAGCTGGTTTGAGCTTGTATGGAACACAATTCTAAAGTATGGCATCAACAATGCAGATATCTACAACTTTGATGAGACTGGGTTTATGATGGGCGTCATCTCAAGCGCAACGGTAGTAACGAGCTCAGATGGGCGGGCAAAGGCAAAAAAGGTGCAGCCTGGCAATCGGGAATGGGTTACAGTAATCCAAGGCGTTAGTTCTCAAGGTTGGGCAGTGCCGCCATTTGTCATTGTGGCAGGTAAAAACCACCTTGCATCTTGGTATGAGAATAGCGGATTTCCAGCAGATTGGGTAATCGCTGTTACTGCAAATGGCTGGACTACAAACGAGAGAGGTATGGATTGGATTCAGCATTTTGAGAAGCACACAAAGCCCCGGAGTGTTGGTGGTTATCGCTTGTTAGTCCTTGATGGTCATGAGAGCCACCACTCAGACAAGTTTGAGGAGTACTGCAAAGAACACAACATTATTACGCTTTGTATGCCTGCTCACTCTTCCCATATACTCCAACCACTTGATGTTGGCTGTTTTGGCCCATTAAAGAGAGCTTACGGTCGGCAAATTGAAGATATGATGCGGGCTCATATTATTCACATTACTAAGGATGACTTCTTTCCTGCCTTCCACACTGCATTTAACATTGCAATGACAGAAAGCAATATTCAGGGAGGGTTCCGAGGTGCTGGGCTTCTTCCATTTAGCCCTGAGAGTGTAATATCTACACTTGACCTTAGGTTTAAGACGCCAACACCTCCAACCTCTCGCCCAAACACCGCTCAACCATGGGTTTCTCAGACACCAAATAACCCAACTGAAGCTGTATCACAGTCTACTTTCATTAAAAACTGAATTGCGCATCATCAAAATAGCTCTCCAACCTCAATCTATGCAGCTGTTGACCAGTTTACAAAGGGTGCATCGCAAATAATGCATCAATTAGCATTGTTAAAAGCAGAGAACCAAAACCTGCGACAGGCAAATGAAGTGCTAAGCAAGCGCCGGAGAGCTAAAAAAACACGACTACAGCAAGGAGGATCACTTAGTCAACAGGTAGCACAGGAGGTACAGGACGAGAGGGACGTTGTGCAGCAAGTAGAGCAAGAAATAAGGGCAAGTAGTGGTCGGAAGCCAAGGGAAGAAACCCATGCACGTCGCTGTGGCAAGTGTGGTGAGACTGGACACAATGCGCGCACTTGTCAGATTGTAATAGACAGGTCTGAGGAAGAGGACTCTGAATAATTTATATTGTTGTGGTGGATTTATCGCAATTCTTAGGGGGTAGTCGCGATATTTTGGCACTTTCGCTTGTTTGGCACTTTCGTTATACATGCACGTTATACATGCACGTTATTTAGTATGTGATTGCGTTTCGATCACGTTGTGCAGCGTTTTTGGCTCCCATACCATAGGCAGATCGGACGAAGTTGGCGGTGGAGTTGGCGTAGAAACTCGAATATCAAGCTGTGAAATCACATACTGCGGATCGTACGGCACTAAACCAGTTCCGTGGAATCCTACTCGAATGTTTGACTCTGTAAGTGCTGCACGAAACGTAGCATGAAATGCAGGAAAAAAGTCTTCCTTCGAAATGTGGGTAATATGTGCACGCATCAATTTTTCAATTTCAGTGCCGAACGAACGTTTTAAAGCTCGAAAACACCCAACATCAAGGGGTTGAAGCTTATGAGATGAATGAGCAGGCATACATAAAGTAATAATGTTGTGATCTTTGCAATATAGCTCAAAATCGGTTGAATGATGACTCTCGTGTCCGTCGAGAATCAAAAGTCGATATACACCTTTCGTGCGAGGTTTTGTATGTCGATCAAAGTGCTGAATCCAATCTAACCCTCGCTCATTTGTAGTCCAGCCATTTGCAGTTACTGCAATAACCCAATTGTGCAGCAATTGACTGTTTTCATACCAGGATGACAAGTGAGTTTTGCCTGCAACAATAATATATGGCGGTACCGCAAACCCATCTGCACTAATTCCTTGAATAACTGTAGACCATTCTCGATTGCCTTGCTGCTTCGTACGAGCCTTCTCTTTGCGTTTAGCGCTTGTCACAACCATTTCAGACGATATTTGGCCCATTAGAAACCCTGTCTCGTCAAAGTTATATGTATCCGTCTCAATTGTGTTTCGTACAAGGCGAAACCACGTGTTATACGCATTTGGATCTTCGCATTTAGCTCTTTGATAATCAATTTGTCTGCTAAAATGCGTCCGTAATTGTGATTGTCGTCGTACGAAGTTCGTAGTCCAGTTCTTTCCGACGCGTTGTGCGTTTCAGTCTGCAAGCAGTCGATTTGCCATATCTTCAACATAACTAACTCGAGGAGGGAATGATCATGAATCCAAGTCAAGAATATGTCGTACGATCGTTTCCTCTTCTAACAAAGTTAGTTTTTGATTCTGAGGGATAATATCGCGTCGTGAAGATGTCCTGTGTAATCTATTAGACTGTGTCGTACGAGGCACATTAGTACCAGGTGGTTGAATAAGAGTATCCCCACACACTAGTGCAATGACTGGTATTTGTGGCCCTTGTAGTTCTGGTCGCCAGTTCTCACCATGCTCCATGAAGCCATTCCGAAATGCCTCCTGCTCTTCTGGCCCAAAGCGGTTAATTGGAAACACTGGCCAGTATTTAACGACGTCTTCTGGCTTGCTGTTGTCATTGTGTCCCTCAAGTGTTAACATGGTAGAAACTCCGTTCTGATCCTTATGCCAGCCTGAGGCTGCCCCTCGCTGGGCGACAATTGAAAACCCCATACATTGCTGGATATCCACTGGGCGGACTGGTAGAAATGTTGGCTTTCCCACGTTGATCTCATTATATTTTAATGATTCACAGTAGCGAACAACCTTCCGTAGATAGCTGTAGTGTTTGGTGACACCTGCAGGCCAGCATCCATACCCACAGTCTGCAATATTAAGAAAATTAACAGGCGGATTTTGTATGCAAACTTCTGGAGAAGCCTCTGCATTCTTCCATAAGGTAAACGCGTCCTGTATCTTTAAATTTTTAACAGCTTGTCTGCTTGTATCTTTATTAAGTATCTGGACATCGATTTGCATTGGCTTTGTAGAGATTTGAGCCTCTGTCTCCATCTCCTTGAACCACTTTTGCAGCGTCTGATATGGTCGTCACTCCAAGAATTTGTAGTCTCGAATAATAATGAGCTTTGGGTCGTTATTATTAGCTGCCCATATAGCATGCTCTCCCTCTGTAAGGAGTAATATATCTGCGTCGTCGTACTTGCAGTCGCACTTTCCATGTATAGAGACAGTATCAAAACTAAATCCCACATTATGGGATCCTTCACTACCAGCTGTCCATACCTTTGCAGGGCGCCCGTACTTGAATATATGGGTGGCAAGTTGCCCAGCATTGGCAAGGTGAGTGTTTGGTTTTTCTTCATAGATTCTGCGATATGCACGAAGTAACGCATGCCTTCGTTCGTCATTAAAAAGGTCATCCTGCTGCTTCTGTGCAGAGAAAAGGCTTTGAGTAGATAGGGGGTTTGTTCGTATATATTGCTGATAGGCATGTCTCTGCCTATCTCTCTGTTGGCGACTCTGTCTTATATAGCGTCTATGACGTTTCTCATGTAGAGGTCCCGCTATAGCCAATCGTCCTTGCAACTTCTCGTGTGTAGTACCCATCTGAACATACGGCCGTAATCGCTTGTTTCGGGCGATATATTTGGACTGTTGTGAGTTCTCCTGTTTAGTACCCACTCGAACGTATGGCCTTAATCGCTTGCTTTGAGCGCCACCATTAGATTGTTGCTCATTAGGTTTCCGTTTTGCCGTTTTAAGAGTCCCCATTTGCATCTCTACGCTCTTTTTTAGGTCTCCATCACTCCTTGGTGTCTCTCTCTGCGTTGGTAGTACGCCATCCTTCTGGGCGTCGAAGACATTTTGCGCATCTACGACCGTTTGAGCATCCGAGCTGTTCTGGTCATCCGTGCTGTTCTGGGCGTCTGCAGATTTCTGCATATCTGCGACAGGTTGAATGCCCGAGCTGTTCTGGGCATCCGTGCTGTTCTGGGCGTCTATGTTGTTCTGGGCGTCTATGTTGTTCTGGGCGTCGATGCTGTTCTGGGCGTCGATGCTGGTCTCAGTGTCTGTGCTTTTGCTGGCGTCTAAGCTGTTCCGAGTATCTGCGGCCTTCTGTGTGGCGTCCGCGTCTAGCCCCTTTCGTTCCTTCTCCCTCTGTGCCTCTGCCTCCGCCTCTACTTCTGCTGCTTTTGCTGCTTCTGCTGCTTCTGCTGCTTCTGCTGGTTCTGCTTCCTGAACCTTTAGTGTCTCTATCTCTGCTTCTGCTGCTTCTGCTTCCTGAACCTTTCGTGTCTCTATCTCTGCTTCTGCTGCTTCTGCTGCTTCTGCTGCTGCTTCCTGGACCTTTCGTGCCTCTGCCTCTCTCTCCTTCTGCGCCTCTTCCTCTACCGTTATTGCATCCTTAATATCACTTATCACAATGATATCTTTTCTCGTTGATTTTTTCGACACTATACCATTTTTCGGAGCTAACCTGTCGTGTCTGGCCATTTCAACACGTTTTAGTGTCAAGTCGAAATTATTATTAGAGTGCGGCAAGAGACTTAAGGTTGTCAATTCCCACCCTTGAACATAGAACATCGCCCCCAATGTGAAAAAAAAGCTTATTCGGCTTCGTATCGAGCGAGGCAGCTATTTTTTCCACTTGCTTCTTAAGTTTTGTATGTCTTATCTTCGCCTCGTATATTATTGTTATAGCACGTAGCCATATCTTCGAGTTCACTTTTCTTATAACCCAGTATTCAAATGGTTTTCTCGTAAGGTCTTGTTCATCCATAGACCATTTGGATCTTAATCTCTGGAGGACCTGCAGTATAGCCTCTATAGAGTCCTTATGTTGAGAAACAGCATCTTCTAGCTCTTGGAAGAGATTTAATTGCTGGCGCTGGTTCATGCCGCCACGTTCAGCAGCAACAGCAGAAATTGGGAGTCGTGCCAGAGTAGAGTGGTGGCCAGTGCGGGCGCGGCGAGCGGCAGACGTCATGGCGGAGCGCGCGGCGCGCGAATTCTTCTTTGGCGTGCGAAGCGCCGGCATTTTATTCAAAAAAAAAAAAAATAGAGAGAGAGAGAAGGGGGGGAGGCTGGAGCCAATTGATGTTGTATATCAAAGGAAGAAAGAAGGAAAAGAAGGAAGAAGGAAGAAAGAAGTCCAGCTCTTACTACACACTGAGCACCCCGGCCCCGCCACTCCTGCTGCGGCCACTGCCGCCACGTGCGAGAAAAGTCCTGCGCGCGCTGCCCTTACAGGCAATGAAGATACCACGCGCGCTGCCACAAATGGTGAAGAACCCCTCCGCGCCGCCAACAATGGCGAAGAAGAGCCTGCCACCCGCGAGCCCGAGCCCGCCGCCACCCCCTCCAAAGCTCGGAAGGAGCGTCTGGCCGTTGGTCGCGGTCCTGTTGGCGCGCGCCGCGCTGTGGCTTGTTTGGGTTGTGTGCGTTCTGCTGTGGCCGGCAAGTCGCTCGGCGACTGTCACGATCAGCCCGGGGCCATTCCTGGGGTTGGTCGCTGCTGGCGCTGCGCTTCGGGGCATAGCTGCATGCCGGTGCCTGCTGCAGTTGCGCCGAGCGCCGCGGCGCTACTTGCTGGGCTCGCGGCCGATCCTGCTCTGTCTGTGGCGGTACGTCTTCCTGCTCCTCCCCTTGTTTGAATGTGCTAACGATCATTGTAGAAGAGGAACCGCCTGCGCGGTTATGTCCGCGACGCTCTTGCAGTTGCCGACAAGAAGCCTGGTGGCTCGTCGTCTGCTCCCGCACCCACCAACGACCTCGCTGCCGCTCCTGGCTTTGGAGCTCCTGTGCCTCTTTCTGGTTTCGGCGCTCCTGTGTCTCTCTCCGCTGTCGCCTTCGGGCAATTCGGTGCTCCCTCGCCCTTTGGGGCTCACGTCCTTGGGAGCTTTGCCGCTCCTCCTCCTCCCGCCCAGGGAGCACAACTCGGTGCGCTCCTGGCGCAGCTTGGTGGCCTGCTCGCGCCCTCTCCTGGCGGTCCGTCGGTTCTCGCGCGCCGCGCGATGATTATGGCAATTCTTGGCCAGGTGGTGGATTCGCTGCTGGAGTGATCGTGGGTGGAATTTTCTGGGGGAGTTTGGGGGTGGCATTGGTAGATAAGGGGGGGAGTTAGGGTGAGAGCTTGGGAACGACGCCCACTAATATGAAACCGTTCTCCGCGCTCTGCCTTGTTCCTTGCTGTACTCGTAGACTAATGTACAGCCCCTTCCCGCTCTGGCCATTATTTTGGCTGTATCTGTATTTAGTGTGAGCACGAGAGAAGGGCAATGAACGATCGCGCTCATCGTCTTTTTAAAGGGGTTGCTCTGAGGAACTCTGCACTGCCTGTTTGTAGGCGTTTGCAAGGGTGTTTGCGATTGCAAACATGGGATTGTTAGATTACAAATGGAATTGTACAAATGAAAGACGCTCGATAGAGCATATAAATGTGTGTACAAGCTTACAAAGGACTGTTCTCAAGCTCGCATGTGTCCTTAAGGTTAAGGAGAGCACGGAAATGCTTGAACTTATGCCTTGGAAGGTTCTTTGTAAGCCCGTCGGCTGGCATATCAGCTGTTGGGAGATAGGCGATCTCGAAACTGCCAGCCTGGTGCTCCTGACGGAGCCACATATTTTGAATATCTACGTGCCGGAGCTTTGTAGCTATTCTCGTATTCTCCCCTACTACTAACTGGATCGTTTGCTGGTTATCGCAAAAGATCATCCATGTATTGCCGAGCTCTAAACGGATCTCTGAAAGAAGCCTTTTAAGAGCAATAGTCTCTTTTCCTGCTTCTGTTAAGCCGCGGAGCTCGGCTTCTGTTGTAGACGTCGTAACTGCTGTGGATCTGTTCACTTTCCAGGCTATGACTCCTCCGAATAAGGAGATCATATAGCCTTGTGAAGAGTGCCGCGTTTCAGGATCGTCGCCAAAGGAAGCGTCGGATGCTATAATCACCTGCGTGCCATGGAGCTTACCATCGTACTGTACTGAGAGCGTCCGCGTACCGTAGAGGTATTTGATTGACCAATCAATAGCAGTGATGTGCTCCGAGCTTGGGTTTGCTAGGTAGCGTGATAGTAATGAAGCAGCAAACGCTACGTCTGGCCGGATCATGATCGCTGTGTAGAGCACTGAACTGACCACCTTCTGATATTCCTTGATCTGGCGAGCAGACGCCTTGTTCTTGTTCGGTAGGAATTCCAGAGTAGGAAGTGGTGTGGCCGGGCTTGTTCCTTCGATCAGACCAAACTTGTTTGCGATCTTCTCAATGTACCTCGTATGCGTCAAATAGATCTTGTGAGCTTTACGATCACGTATCACTCGGATTCCTAGGAACCACTCAACGTCCCCTAGCTCACAGACTTCATACTTCGTAGTAAAGCTTTTGATAAGCTTCCGAGCGTACAAGTAGTCTTTCTGATGATAGAGGAACAGGCAATCGTCGACGAAGATCATGACAAATAACTTTTGGTGCTCGTCGTAAAACAAGCACCAGTCCTCAGTAGATTGGATGAGGTCAAAGAGTGAGAGCTTATTCGTAAGCTCTTTGAACCAGAGAGCTGGCGAGTCTCTTAATCCATAGAGCGCGCGATCCACATACACCACTTTGCCTGCCTGCTTAAATCCATCTGGTAGGTAGCATACTACTGGCGAGCTTCGTGTGTCTCGTTTGGCGTTCGGAAAAGCGTTTACAACGTCATATTGTTTGATCTCAAGATCGTTTTTAGCTGCAACAGCCATCATTATGCGAAATACTTGGGCCGCAAGCATTGCAGCATAGGTCGAGAAGATCGATTCTTCATCCTGAAGATCGCCTCGAGCTACGATGCGCGATTTGCAGCGTATGAGCGTACCATGAAGGTCCACCTTATAAGTGAATACCCATTTCAGTGGTATTGGCTTTGTTCCAGTCAGTATTTCGTGTTCAGGAATAATTCTCCAGCAGTCCTTTGACTCGAGTTTCTTAAGCTCAAGCTCAGCGTCATCCTTGAATTGAGCGCCGTAAAGGTGCTTCTCTAGATCGCGCCATGCTTTAGGCGCTTTTGGAAGATCTTTTTGGTTCGTAGGTGGGATTAGTGTTGTCTGCCGCAATGCTCGCCCCTGTAGGATAGAGGCTGCGATCACAGCATGCGTTGTGTTAAGGTCGTCGATCCGGGTGCTGTATAAACCTGTTCTTCCTCTCGATCGAAGCCTTTCGCTGAAGCATACAGGTGTCCTGCTCTGTAGAGCTTTCTGCAACTTCTTGTGAGAGCATTTCTTCTGCTTCTACTTCTTCTACAGGACTACGAGCTTCGGTCGTAGGCTGCACTTCGTGAGCATTCGCTGGGTGGTGAGTAGCGAACTCACCATCCAATGTTGCGTGCTCAGAGGTCGTATGGTTAGGAGGAGATGTGCTTTCCTCTAACTCATCCAAACTACTCGACCCCTGATTAGCTTGGGTTGGCGCTTCTAGAGCTCCTTGTGGAGGTTCTAGAGTGCGATTTCTAAAAGCGGTTGGTGCTGGCGTTGTCTCAGGTGTGAGGAGGCCAAGGAGGTATTCAGCTTCTCCCTTTTCTTCTTGATGGATCACCCCTGAGATCACCACCTCCATGGTTTCTTGATCGTGCTCTAAGGACATTTCTTTTTGAGCTTTGTCCGCCTCAGGCATTTGATCGACCACGCTCACCTTAATTGTTTCGAGCTCGCCGTTACCCACCCCTGAGATCTCAAGGCCATCTGCTATAGATGATAGTGTGGTGAGATCTCCCGGTGCGAGTTCTGGTTGGGGAGTGTACTTTGTACGCTCGTCGAATGTAACGTTCCTAGTTACAATCACCCGATCGAGCTCAGGAATCCATACTCGATATATGTTTTGAGACATGTAACCGACTAGGTATCCTATTGCTGCGCGCGGAGCTGTTTTGAAAGCTCGCACATTGTGCCCAGCTTCGCGATCTTTGATCAATGGGTAGGTCCGTGATCCGTAGGCATAAATGCCAGACCAGTTGGGCCGAAGATCAGCTGTTAAGCTCTCCACATATTTTGGCTCATACCATTGAAAGTATTGCTGGAACCACGAGCTTAGGACCTCATGTGGCGTACGCCAATGGTGCTTTTGGCTCGGGCTTATGTTGTGGAGAAAGATCGCTGTCATGGTGCTCTCAGGCCAGAGCTTCTCAGGAAGGTTTGCGCCAGCGAGCATTGCGATAGAGCGGGGGATTATAGTGCCGCCTGCTCTTTCGATTCCTCCATTTGGCTCGTGTGTATAGGACGGCGTAAGCTCGAGGATTATACCCCGCTCTTTCGTCCAACGTTGGTAGCCAGTTGTTCCTTGTTGGTTGATCGGGATCACCGATTTATCATTGTTGTGCTTGAGGAAACATATAGAGAGACCGTAATGTCTTGTTACGTGAGCGTCAAATGCCTGAATGGTGTCTGATACGCTCGCGTGAGATTTGTTCTTGAGAAGGAATCCAAAGAGCGTACCACTGTATTTGTCTTTAACTAGTAGTAGCCAATTGGATCTGTCGTACCCGGTGTGAAAGTCGAAGAGGTCCCATAGAACTCTCCAGAACGGACGTCTAGAGCTCCTTTCTGATGGGACCTTCGAGATTATCTGTTTGGCGTGTGCTTTAGAGCAGTGCTCGCAATTGATGTGCGCTGTGCCTTTGATTTCGACGTTCCGGGCGTGTTTTACTAGAGCACGCAGGGCAGCTTGGCCTAGTGCCCTGATCATACGTGCCATAGTTCTTCAGAATCGGATCGCGGTAGAGCTTTGTCCCTTGATTTACGATGGCGTCTACCATGGCGATCACTAGAATGTATGATGGCAAAGCTTGATGGAACAAGAGAGCAAGATAGAAGAGCTTTGTATTGGAGCATAAAGCAGGTTGTATCTAACTTCGAGCTTTCCTAAGAGCATAGGAGCTCTGCGCTCTCCTGTCCACAGCGTATTATCATACCCATCAACCCATATACCCGAGTTGCGCAAGAGGGCTTGTGATACAATGTTCACATGGAATCCTTCGACCACCTGAAACATTGTTGAGGATTAGGTCTGCGGTTTGTGGGCCGCTCAGTCCATGTAAGATCTTGCGTATAATGCGCGTTCCTCGTGCGACGATCGCGAAACTCGTCGTTCCAGATTCAACAAACTCTGGAGTGCTTGGGTAAATCATTGAGCCAGGCTCGAGTAGATCTTTGCAATTGACGATGTGCACTGCTCCACAATTGTCTAGGAGCGTGCTCTCAGAGAGCGGGTGTTTCTGACCGATCACTGTGTACACCCCTAAGCTCTGATCGAGCCACGGTGCAATGATCGCGGCATTGTAGGTAGCACGGTAGTCGTTGTTGCCATGCGCGGGCTCAGAGCTTTGGTTCTGGCTCTTCTTAGGTTGAGGTGGTGTCATGCCCTTTGAGCTTAAGAGCCTGCGAAGCTCCTTGAACTCTGGTTCTATGATCTCGCCAATGTTATACTCGACGCCCTGGCTATAAGCTTGAAGCCAGTCATTATACCACTTGTCCGGGTTGACTCTACCGTTCCTAGCTTGCTCTATAAGAGCTTTGTATTGCCGACGGGCTTGTAGGAAGTTGGTTGACTTGCTCAGTGCAAGGAGCGTACGAAGCTCTCGGACAATTCGTTGGATAGTGGAGCTCTGTTCAGCACGAAGACGGGTCATAAGAGGATTGAGGATCTTTGTATCGACTGTCGCAATGATCCATTGATTGATCGCTGAGTAGGGTTTCGATACTGCTTGCCAGACAGTGAGCTGCACAGCATACGTCTTGTAGCTCTTGTCGAGCTCGTCAATGATATTTTTTGTGCTTGCAGGAGCGTAGTACGGCTTAGGTGGTCTTGCATCCACAGGGGCTGCCTCGTACGCCAGTATACTCTGGCTATAGTGTTCTTGCCAAGAGTTGTTTTCGCGCTGGAGCACCATCCGGAAGAGCTGGCGAGAGCTGAAGATGGATACGAAGGGCTATGCCATCCACGCACCCTCCGATCGGCATGTGCAGCCGCTCACTAGGATCGCCTCTACGCCGCAGCCGCACCTGATCCTCGACTGCAACGAGCGCATCATCGCATACAAGTTCCAGGTACCAATCGCCCTCATCGACAAGCTTGCAGAGGCGAGCGAGAAGCTTCCACCCAAGAGTGCCAAGGCACACCAGGGCGGCCACTTCGAGTGTTCCCACTACGCCTTGTGGGCCGACTCCTCCGGCCCCATGATGAGCAAGGAGCGACCAGCTGCCGCATAGCGAGGCCTTCCTCAAGGCGAATGAGGACCTCTTCTGGCAACTGAGCAGCCGACTCCGCCTCCTCAGCCCCGAGCTGTATCGCCGATACGGCAGGGTCGACAAGCACCTTAGCGAGTCACAGAAGCGCCTCGGTGGTGCCTGGCACGGAACCGTCGTCAACCGGCAGATCGGTAACTCCGACGAGCTCCGAGCACACAAGGACTGGAAGGACTGGCCGAAGGGACTTAACGCAGTAGTGCCATGGGGCGACTATCAGGGTGGCGCGCTCACCATGTACAACCTGGGCCTACAGTGGGAGATGCGACCTGGTGACGTGATCTTCTTTGGAGGGCGCGTGGTGTCGCACGGCGTAGAGGATGTCCTGAGTGGCGTGAGGAATAGCCTCAACCTAATGGTGCATACGAGCACCATCCGCTGGGTAGAGAAGCAGGAGTTGGACGAGAACGAGGAGCTTGCGAAACGGCAAGGGAAGAAGAAGCTGGGGAGGAACAGGAGGAGGGATCGGGAGGAGGACTCGACCGGTAGTAGATAGATCGAGTAGCTAGTATTGATTTCTGCGTCGTTGTTCACCGAGTTAAAAGAAAAGAAAAAGAAAGCATTGGCGCCCGCCCTCCATCCAGCAACAGCTGTATTTTATTTATCGGCTAGGAAACAAAGATGACACGTTAACGATGGCGAAGAAGGAAACCCGCAAAAATTTGAGCGAGGAAAGAGAGTGAGACGTCTTATAGTGTAATGTCTATTTCTGATGATTGAAAAAAATACTAAATAATAAACCTACTCTCAGGAACCAGTGTGCGGCACAGATACCTGATTACCTGTGGTGTTCAGGTAATTACCTGGGTAATTACCTACCTGGGCTCATTCTCAAAATACCTGAGTATCCCGGTATTTTCAGATACTTACCCAGATACATGCCAAGTATTGCCAAGTGTAGCCAAGCCGCACAAATGCTAACGTTGAAATACTCGTCTTCATGCTTGATATGGTGATAATTGCCGTGAAAATGAGTGACTCTCCGTTGTCAGACGTGCCGACGGACCTTGATGGCTATAATTCTCACGATGAGCCAGCCCTACCAGGGCTTTTTACCCCTTTTCAGCAATCAAATCCAATTCCTGTCCGTCTACACCCGCCTAGCCAAATGCTACCGCCAACGCAGTCGCTGCTGTTCACGAAGGAACTATATTCAAGAATACTACTTGAGAGCAACCCGCCAACTATCAAAGTATGCTGTATGCAGCCTAATTGCGGATACTCGCCCGCAGCTCAAACCCATGCTCAAGCTGCTGCTTCAACTGGCAATCTTTGGAAACACTATAGTCTTAAGCATAAAGGAATCTATGATGCTCTTAAACACAAGAATACAGCGCCTTCAAGTCAATCTAGCAGCACATCATCATTTTTTGAGCCTCGGAGACCAGCGACCCATGAATCAAGACCAACAAACAATCCAGCCAAATATAGAGAGTTAGTGCTATCGTTTATAGTATCTAATAACCTGTCTTTACGCATTATCGAAAGCTATTCATATCGTCAATTAGTACGGTTCTTAAGTCCATCTGTGTTATCACTTTCGTCAAGAACATTGCACCGAGAACTACAACGCCAATTCTCATATCACCGAGGCATACTACAGCTTGAACTCCATTCTCATATTATACATGGAGGCCGGATATCCATAACGACAGATGCATGGTCTGCACGGAACTATACAGAGTATGCTGCTGTTACCGCTCATTGGATTAATGATAAATGGCAGCAGAAATCAAAATTGCTTGATGTGATACATCTTCAAGAGCCTATTCATAGCGGTGAATACTTAGCTCAGCAATTAGCAGCTGTAACAGATAGTATAGCTATTACAGGCGCTATCTTTACATGCACCTGAGACAACGCATCATCAAATACTGTGATGCTCTCAGAATATGAGAAATTGGCTAGCAACGCCCAAACATCAACTCAACAACCTTGGACATTTACTGTCAAAGAAGGCGATGTCCGGTGTATTGCACATATCATAAATATCACAGTTCAAGCCGCTCTTACGAGTTTAAAAGCAGAACCAGATGTAGAGACAGAGACATACCGGTGTGAGCAAGGTGCAGCTCGGATTCCATTTAGTAGAGATAGTCATGTGGAAGTCATGAATGCTCTTGCAAAGCTACGAAGACATATCTATGTCTTTCGTAATCGACGAGCATGGAAGGATGCTTTACAACGACAAGTCAAAGCTATAGGTTTAAAACCACAGCAACTATCACTTGATATGCCAGTACGATGGAATTCAACACATCGTATGCTTGATACAGCATTAAAACTCCAAATACCAATCACAGCAGTATGCATAACACAACAGCTTGATATTAGTATGAAAGATATTGCATTAACTACAGGAGATTGGGCTGTTATTAAAGATCTTGAACGACTGTTCTTAATATTTCTCAAACCATCAAGACGGCTACAAAGTGATACATACCCGTCACTTAACTTTGCTATTCCACTTTATCTTAAAATGATAAATAAAGTTAAGAAGATGCAACAAGAAGTTGGCGAGCACTCAGCAATTGGTATTGCATGCACAGTAGCTTATCAAAAGCTTCACGCGTATTATACTCTTGCAACAAATCAGCAATGTAAGCACTCAGCTGTAGCTACAATTTGCGATCCACGGATGAACCATACAGTGTTTAAAAAGATATATCCAGATAGTACAGATCATGTACGAATCACACGGGCAAGAGCACAGTTTGAAGATGTTTGTAGAACATATAAGACACGGCAATATCATCTTGATACAGAGCGTATTGAACGTGAAACAGCTCTTGCAGATGCATTAGGAAATGCAAATACTAGAGTGCAAGAACCAGATTCTGATGAAGATTTATTTGCATCAGAGGGTATATCATTTGAAGAACCAGAATGGAAACGATGGATGCTTGAACCACGGCCTGGTGAGCATACTGATATTCTCAAATATTGGTCTGCAAAGCAATATCAATATCCAATAATTGCTCAAGTTGCTCGAGACCATCTTGCAATTCCTGCGACATCAGCACCATCAGAACGGGTATTTAGCAATGGTAGCGATATCATTACTAAGAAAAGGAATAGATTGTCGCCATCGACAATTAGATATATGCTTTGCTTACGGAATTGGGGTTATTTACCAGATGCCGACAGCGACGGTGATGATGCAGATGATGAGGCAGAAGAATAGGAATAGGGGCTGTCTATTTTATTATTATATTTGTCACGAGTTTCACTTTTCTAGTTACATATTCTAGTTACATATCATTATCTATTTCAAATATCAAAAGCGTCATTTTTGTATACGGAATTGAGGCTCAACTACCTGCTAAAGTATCTGTAAATACCTACCTTACCTGAGCAAAGTCGCTCAGATACTTACCTTACCTGGCGAGGACCCAGATACTACCTGGGTAGTATCGGTATGTTCCTGTCAGGAACATACCTCGACAACACTTAAAACAACATCCCCTTCGATTTCTTCATATCCTTGACCCTATAATCCTTCCATACAATAATACACACAAACATCAGCACGACCAGCGACGTCGACGCAATCGTCATCCGCTTCTGCGCAACACCATAGGCCCGAACGACTGCCATCCTTGCCTCGCTCCCCCACTCAAACTCCAGCTGCTCCTTCAAGCTTCCATATATCTCCCCCGCACGGCCCTTCTCGGCCTCCGGAAGCGCCGCCACCAGCGCGTCGGGCAGCGTATTCGTCCATATTGCACCCGCCATCGATGACCCGATGGCACCACCGACTGCTGCGGATAGCCCGAGCACGGCTAGGATAACCGCAACGTCCGTGTGCTTTACGGCGGCCATGGCAGCCATCTGCTCGCAGATGACGAGGGTACCACCGGCGAAGGCGATGAAGATCTGGCACATAACAACGTATCCGATGTTGTGGGCCGGCTGGCGGAAATGGATTATGAGGCCGACGCCAAGAAGGTTGAGGGGCGCGCCGAAGTAGAGCGCGAGGGGTTTGATACGTCCCGTGTAGTGGATGGCGGCGGCGACAACGACCGCCCAGAACGAGCAACCGATAGAGAATATATTAAAGACGTAACCGGCGCTGGTGATACTCAACCTGTGCACGACCTGCAGGTACGAGATGTAGTAGTTATCCCAGAGGTAAAATGAAGCAAAGGATACAGCGGAGAGACCGCAGGCACCGATAACAGTGCGGTCGGTGACGAGGTGGAATGGGATGAAGGAGCGGGGGGAGAGGTATTTCTCGTATAAGCCGAAGGCGACGAGGAGAGCCACGCCAAGGACGAGCATTGTTATTGTGGACGCGGCGGCCCATTTGTCTGTTTGGGAGCCGGCGAGGGAGAATGGCAGTAGGAAGAGCGCGAAGCCAGCAGAGCTGAGGAGGATGCCGACGACTGGGAGAGTTAAAGTCTGACAATCATGAGATGGGGCGAAGAAAATACGCACCATCGAATTCGATGAAGTAGTACCAAAATGACTCTCTCAGAGTGCGCGCGCTGTCCCTCTTCTGAATAAGACCGAGCCGAGCTGCCTTTCTCTGATTGGAGAAGAGGATATAGAGCATGGGGAGGACGACGATGGGGGTGGCAATCGAGAAACAACCGAAGGCCCACCTCCAGCTACTATTTTCGTAGAACGATTTGGCAGCCTTTGGACCGGCCCACGTGGTAACTATATAGGGAGTGCTGGCAAATGCGAAAGCGAGTGCTCTGTTGCGGAGGTTGGAGGTATCGGCAATGAAGACGTCAAGGACGAAGCCTATGCCATTATAACCGACCCAGTAGAAGCACTGTGCGGCAGCGTATGTTTGGACGTTGTTGCAAACGGCCATCAAGATTAGGCCTATGGTGCAGAGAGTGGTCATGATAATGAGGCCCTGCGGGCGGCCCCAGATGTTGATAAGCTGAGCGATGGGAAGCTTGAGAACGCCGCCGAGAATTTGTGACACGACTCCCGTGACAGGAATTAATGAATGCGAGGAGAAGTCGGACATGACATAAGGCAATAGATTACTGGTTATCTGCAGCTGGAGTGAGTTCACGAAAAACACGAGGAATATACTGTGAGTACACATTAGCATACAATTCCGTCATTGCGGATGTCAAGTTGCTTACCATGAATATGCGGCGAATAACTCCTTCTTGGTCCATACAAGCACAACGGCCTCAACTTTCTTAACACCCCCAGCAGCGATCTCGGATGGCACCTCATCGTCAGAACTCGGCTCGCCTTCTTGCGTAGGAGTAAGAACCTTCACCGTCTTCTCCGAGGGAGAGGCAGCCTCACAATCGACCGCATCAGGCAAGGGTGCCGTTGGCTCAATATCCCTTCCACCCATAAAGCGAGATAAAATGTCCAGCCTCATCTTTAGGCGTGTTATTCACAGTAAATGGGGAGTCGCCAGATTGTTTTTTGACCCGGAAGCAAGGGGATCAACGGTTTAAAAAGATATTGTAGTATGACCGACAGATGGCTCCCATGGGTCCGGGAAAGGCCCGTACGATGCAGTAGTCGGGTATCATGGTGGCGTGAGGTAAGAGTGGGCCTATATATGTCGAAAGTAAGGGTCAACTTACTACAGTAGGGGTCCGCCCGGAGAAGCGCAGCAGCGAGAGGTCAAGGACTGGATATAAGATGGGTATTGGAGAGAAGACTAGCCACACCCGAAAGACATATGAATCGCGTGGATTGTTTACCATATGCATTCGCGACTGATCATCTAAGATTCACGGATTACCTTCAGACTCACCGCGTCAGTGTTTGATGCTCCGAACATGCCATCATACGGGTAGCTGTGTACGTACAGTTGAACCTGGATATAAGGATCCCTCGATATAAGGATATCCTCGGTATAAGGATGGGTAGTCTGGTCCTGTAGTTTTTTAGCTGTAAAATAAGGATTATTTCTGTATAAGGATGATCCTTAAATCCGTGGTCCTAAAATTATTTTTATACCAAACAATCCTTATAACTCATGTTCACCAACTCCACCATGGAGGCCTCGCAACCAAAAAAAATGCACGCACTCAGCGATGTTCAGCGACAATGTATTCGACGTAGATATGCCAGCCACCCGTGCACTAAGCCTGCACTTATAGCCTGGTATGCCGCTTAAGCTCAAGGTCGCCAACTTAGCAAAGGCCAAATATCCTCAATTCTTTCCACGAAGTACCAATATCTCGACTCAGATACACACGGAAGAAGACTGAACTTGGCACAAAGAGAAAACGTAATGGCGAATATCCTGAACTTGAGATAGCTCTCTTCGACTGGCAACAATGCATGCAAAAGAAAAATGCGATCATTACTGGTGACATTCTAAAAACTAAGGCGCACGAACTTTGGGACCGTCTGCCACAATATACTATTCATAGGAATGAACCGAAATGGTTCAATGGCTGGTTAGATGGATTCAAGCAGAGATTTAAGATTAAGGAATATGTTCGACATGGAGAAGCAGCTGCAGCGGACATCCACAATCCTACAAATATTGCGATGGAAGATCTCTGACAACTATGCGCAACATATGCAGATAAAGATATTTTCAACATAGATGAAACTAGGCTCTTTTGGAAGATGACTCCAACTCGAACGCTAGCTATTGAAGCTTCGAGTAGGGGAAAGAAATTCAAAGATAGGATTACTCTCACATTTACGACAAATTCGACTAGAACTGAGAAGCTAGATATATGGGTTGTGGGAAAGTCGAAGAATCCTCAATGTTGTAAGAATGCCTCCTTACCTAGATACTCGAAGAACCCGCCTCAGAGCTGTTACGGTCACCACAAGCATGAAATCTGACTCGGTGTGGTTTCGAACCAGTAGAGGAGCACATAGCGAGTTACACTATAGTGGGGGACGGTAAGGGTGTAGGGTTCAGGGTCGATGCGGACCTGTTGCGGTGGAAGGTTCAGGGCTAGGCTTGGGATAACCGAGTCGGGCCCGTTTCGGGTACATAAGGCAACAGACTTAACGGGGTTCCCCCTTCATCTTTTTTGTATCCTTCGTAGTAGACCTATAGGATAGCATCCATTTAGCCTCCGACTTGCACTCTCATATGCTATTACTGTGAGCTGGGTGCCCTGTGTCCTTACAAATGTTTTAAAAATATTAATGTTAAGTGCATGCGGATTCAATATCAATACAATGAGACAAAATGGATGACAGGGCTAATTGTCATACTGACATTCATTGATTCATTGCACTCAGTTTGCTATCAAACTCAAGAGCAAACTTAGAAATCTCCTCCTCAAACTTACACGTCACTATACATATTTTGGCTTATCACACCAACAACAAGAGCAATACTACTCAATGATTGCTACAACCCTCTTTGATTCATTACACGTCATCGCTCCTTAGTTAACCACAAGATTGGTTAAGTTATGACATAATTTGTCTATAGGGGTACTCTGACCTTGGACCTCCTTTTCACTTCCTATAGGCTAGGAACCCAAGAGATGGTTCTATGGGATTCTCTTACGTTTACTACATGATTAACAAGCTAGTTGTGGGTTGCACTTGATTTCTAATACAGTTACCAAGCCTGGTTAGTCATGGAAAGTCTTGGAAAATGAGAGAACTACACTCCTTTAGCATAAATAGGATTGCCCTTTCCTTAAGAAAGGGCAAGCAGACAATACAGTAAATCGACTATCACATACTTCCACGTCTTTTCCAAGCTTCCAAGCATTGATCTTGTTACTCCTTGTTTTTGAAAAGTCAGTGAGGTGCTAACCTCTGACTTATCCCTTATCCCTGAGTTCTCAGACTCAACATTTGTTACAACTTGTCTAAACCACTCCACTACATCATACACTTGATTGGTGCATTGTGGAATAGTCTAAGCTACAACCTTTGGCTCTGTTTCCTAAGACAGTGTGTTGTCTTAGTAAAATCATCCCCTTCCTTGGGTGGCTATATTCTCACATCTGGTGCACCCACCATTACATCCTTGTGATATGCCTCAATTAACGGTAGCCCTACGTTGAGCTTTGAAACCCACTGATCGTCAGCGGCAGTGTATCCTGCTCACCTAATCAGGTATTCTTCTCGAGTTCCTCTGCCCTTTCGCACAGTCCTGTGGTCTAGGACTGCTTTGACCCTGTATTCTTCTTCCCCATCCACAATCTCTGGGTCGGGTGGAGGATCGGCCTTCTCTACGCCTTTCCCAGTATCTCTCAAGTAGGGAGACGTGGAACATGTCATGAATCGCCTTATATCGTGGTGGAAGCTTCAGCTGGTATGCTTGTTTACCTATCCGCTGGATGATCTCGTACGGCCCAAGCCACCAGTGCCCCAGCTTCCTGCTTGGCTGGTGGTCCCTCCTACCATATACTGCATTGGCTTGTGTAGCATGTTATAGCCTCGTATTTGTGCTTCCTTCATCTGTTTCCATGCCTCTTCGAGCTCCTGTCACAATTCTAGGATCAGGTTGACGCGATCTTTCGTGACTGGCATTTCCCTTCTGGTGGGGTCGTCCTCGATCCCTTGTCTTAGGTCTATATTGATGCCGTATCAGGCCTGGTTTGGCTACATCTGTATGAAATTGTGGAAGGCGTTATTGTAGGTCAATTCCGCGAAGTGGAGGAGTTCCACCCAGTTGTCTTGGTGCTGATTAGTGGATCCGTAAGTAGGGTTCGATATTATGATTCTGCCTCTCGGTCTGGCCGTCGGATTGAGGGTGGAAAGCGGTGGACAGGTTACGCCATACTTTGAGGTAGAAACAGAAAGCCGACCAGAAGTGGCATGTGAATACACTTCCCCTATCCGTTATGATCTCAGCTGGGATTCTGAAGTCCTTGCCCCAGAACGCTAGGAAGAGCCGTGCCAGTTCTGAGGCTGTAATGATTTTCCTACAGGGTATGTATTTGGACACCTTAGTATAACGATCTACTATCACGAGGATGGAGTCTGAAGCCTTGCCTTGGTCTGCCCCTATGCTTGGGGGACAGATCCGTGATAAAGTCCATACATATGGATTCGAATGGTTTCGAGGGCATCCTCAAGGCCTGCATTTCGCCATACGGCCTGTGTCACATGGGCTTGATGCGCTGGCATCTATCACAGCCCCGTACGTACTCCCTGGTTTCCTTGCTAAGGCCAGGCCAGTAGTATTTGTGTTGGATCAACTCTTGGGTTTTCTTATATCCAAAATGCCCGGCCAGTGGGTCGTCATGGCAAATCTTGAAGATTTCCATGCTCACTGCCTGGTTGGGAGGTACGTATACCGCTTCCTGGAAGCGTAGGATGCCTGCATCGTCTACTCTCCATCCAGGAGAGTCCTCTGCTCATGCCGTTCCTGCATCCTTGGCCCTTTTAACAGCAAGCTCGTGAGCCGCCCGAAGGGTTTTGATCAAGTCCGTCAGAGGTTTGGTCGCAGCACTGTAGGCACCCTCTCCCTGTGCCATAGCTGTCACTATGACCCAAGGGACAACAGAACCTGAACTCTTGGTGTCCGTATTGTGGTTTCTGTCTGGTCTAGCACCGCTGGTGCTTTCGCCCATACTCTGTGGGTCGATATCCTCTTCTTGAGGGCCCTGTGGGCTCGTTGTCACCCCACTTACCTGCAGGGTTCCTCCAGCCCTCATGGCCTTGCGGAGGGTATTCTGAAGGGTAGGCAGCATCACGTTCTGGCTACCCTTTTTGACCTCATAATCTGGTCTTCTTGACGGCCCGTCTGCCGGGTTCGTCTTTCCAGCCCTGTAGGCTATATGGAAATCATAGGCCGATAACGCCTGCACCCATTGCGCTTGCCTCCATGTGAGGGCGGTGGTTTCCATGAAATACTTGAGGTTATTATGATGCGTAAGGACCTCGATAGGGTATTGGCTCCCTTCAAAATAATGCCTCCACTGTTCGAAGGACCTCACGATCGCTAGCATTTCCTGGTCGTGGGTCTCATAATTGAGCTCAGCTGGTTCCAGCTTCTTGCTATAGAAGGCCACAGGGTGCCACTCGGCCTTCTTGCCTGGCTCTTCTATTAATTGGGAGAGGTTCCCAGCCAGGCCAAACCCTGACGAATCTGTCTCAAGCCTGATTCTATGGCTAGGATCGAAATGAACCAACGTTGGGGCTGTAGTGAAGGCTTCCTTCAGCTGGTCGAAGGTGCCTTGCTGTTCCATGCCCCAGACGAATGGGCCTGTCTGTTTACCTGCCTTGGCCCCCTTTATAAGGCCTGTCATGGGCCACAACAGAAAAATAGCTCTTCACGAAGCGCCGGTAGAAGTTGGTGAAGCCAAGGAACACCTGGACCTCTCTGTAGGTCTTCGGTGTAGGCCACTCAGCAATCGCAGCAACCCGGTCGCTCTCCATGGCAACCCCTTCTGTTGTGACCATATACCCAAGGAAGCTTACCTTCTTGGTATTGAACTCGCACTTCGAGAGCTTCACATATAGGTTCGCCTCGTGTAGGCATCCTAGGACCTCCCTTACGTGGTCGGCGTGCTCCTCCTCCTCCTGGGAGTAAACAAGGATATCGTCGAGGTATACGACGCAGATAGTATTGACGAGCCCTTCTAGGGTCTCGTTCATGTAGGCCTGGAACGTCGCTGGTGCGTTTGTCAAGCCAAAAGGCATCACTTTGTATTCAAAGTGGCCATAACGAGTGCGGAAGGCGGTCTTCCACTCGTCGCCTGGGCGTATACGG